TATAAAAAATGCTGAGAAGCCCAAATTGCCCAAACTAGTTTGGGCTTTGAGAAAACAGTTTGGACTGGAAACCTTAATCCCAAATCCACAAAGAGAATTTGGGCCAGCCTGTCAAAGAATTTCCAAAACCCAAACTGCTTCATACACCCATATCATTCTGTCTCCCAATCAATAAGTGCCTAGGACTTGTGGAAGTGGTCAACAACCCTTTTGTTACACTATATGCTTATTGGTTAGGAAAGCAGGGCAGAAAGATTGATCTACATTTGGGATTTGTACATTTGAGATGTATCTTGATTTTTAATTTGGGCAGCATGTATAATATCTATTCATGGTCAACAACTACAAAATTTATATAATGGTTTAATAGATATTTTAATAGGCACACTATATTAATAATGATGGTATAAAATTATCAAATTTAAAACTTGTTTGTATTGAAGAAGCTGATGATATGTTATATATTGGTTTTTCTGAACTAATGGAAATCATTTTGCAAATCATTAAACAAACAAAACAAAAAAGAAAGTTGAAGATGGTGATGATCATCAAATATTTTTATTTCTGATACAATATCTGATTGGCTAAAACTAATAGCTGCGAAATATTTAAAAGAAAATTATAAGATATTGATTTGAATAAGGAATCCAAAGACCATTAAGAGCAATGATATACTAATACACAAAATCCAACACAATTGTCACACCATGATTTTTTTTTTGAAATTCTGGTTTATAGATAGTTTAAAGTGTCTTCATTTGCTTAGATAAAGTATAATTTTTAATGTTTACATAATAGTTAATGCATATATTAGTTAATACATAGATGGTTATAATAGTTAATATGCATAATAATATATAATATTTTTAAACATATTCATAACATATACATATTGCTTTATAAAAATATATCTTTAATACATAATATGTAGATATTTTTTTATAAAATGCTTATTTTATTTCTATATAGTCATTTTGGCATTTGCTAAATATGGTAATAAAAAAGTTGTTGGGTTTATAAATGTGACACATAATAAATGCGCAACCAATCAATTATAAATAAAATTACCCTTCGAGATTTATTTTCATTTATCTCTTCTCAAAGCTCATTGCCGCATGTATAATCAAATTGAACTGGATTATTATTGTTGTTACTGTCTTCAAATAAACTCAGGGCTCCATTAAAATAAAAACTAACATTTAGATCGCCACTACCAACGGCAGCATTGTTAGCATCTACCCTTGTTGAATTATTCGGTGTAGTTGTTGGATTATTTGCTGCAGTTGTTGGATTATTTGCTGCAGTTATTGGATTATTTGCTGCAATTACAATAACAACTGTAGCTATACTTGTATTAATTAGAGAAGATGGCATTGTTCAATAAATTTATTTAGATAAAATTACAATTTTACAAAAAAAATTTTTAGGAATATAGCGCACACATATATATATATAAGAGAATTATTTAAGTTACAAAATTTGGAATTACCGTAAAAAGAAGATAGAAGATACCATATATAAATGGAGTAACCAAATTATCAAAATGGAACCGTTTTATTATTATTTTCAAGATAAATCATTTTATTTTCTTTATTCGTCGTATAGCTTTTAATTTCCAAAAACAACAAAATTTTACCGATAAGAAATTTTAATCACACGGTAATTTATTAATCACATTATCGTAATTTTAATAATCACAAACATAGAGAGATAATGCATATTGAATACGCGTCTTTTTATTGAACATATATCATAAATTTTAGAAAAACAAAGCAA